TCTCAATAGTGTTAATTACCTGGTCAACATTTAGACTAGAAATAACGAACAGTACAAGTGTGTAAATGCTGATTCATAAAAAGTACTCTTTCAGTTTTAAATATAAAACTCTTTTACAGTGTAATTTACACTACAAAATAAGTCTTATATTTAGAATTGGAAGAATAGTAGAAATGTTCATGTGCTGATATTAATCAACAAAGCATATCAAAACTCAGAATTGAACCAAACATGCCATGAGAGATAGTAGTAAAAACTAATCTCATATCTTATATATTTATTATTTTAATTAACTTTAACGGATATTTTAATCTACATGATTTAATTAGTTGGCAGATGAGATAATATGGAGTAATTAAACAAGGCTGGTGTGGGCGCACATAAACGATAAATGACATGAGTTGTGGGGGCAAAGGGAGAAATGTCACCGAGATTTCCAACACGACTCACACATGGGAGCTCAAAAGACACGGACGCGTTTGTGCGCTGGAATTCACGGGAAACAGACAAATACCGTGATATTTCGAGATTCTCGCGAGATCTCCGCTGCTTGGGCGACTCGTGTTCACACCTCTAATCTCCATGATTAACAGCGCTAAACCCAATAATTATGAATGAAGAGGATCAGACACTCGATTAATCAAAAGTTTGATTCCCCAGAGATCGTATCTCCACCGTCCAACCAGATCCGCATATCTGCCGACCACACAATTGGTGCCTTTAAATAAGATAAAGCCTTAATTAGAGTACTCCTTCGGTCCTTATTATAAGACCCAATTTGACTTTTTATTTGGTCCTAATTATAAGACCCAATCCATTTTGTCTCTTATATTTATGCATTTTTTTCCAAGATAATCCTTCTAATAATAATAGTTTTAGCTAATATACTTAATTAGCAAGGATATTTTAGGAATAACAACACTTATTTATTATAAATAACCAACTTAACTTACTTCTTTAATCTCCTCAAATAAGTCAATTGGGTCTTATAATTAGGACCGGAGGAGTATTATTTATTGGATATAAAAGCAACTTGTTTTTCCACCAATAGCAGAGAATTAACATTGTGGGGTCACCCATTTGTTTTCCCTTTTAATGTCGAACCATTTGGCTTCTGATGCTCCCGATCAGTCTGAAATTTAGTGAAATCAAGGGTTATGATTAGAGAGAAATTTTATCCTTTAGTTGTGGAGGGAAGAAAAGACTAGTGGGGGCATGGTCTCATGACTATAAACAAAAAATCATAGTAATAACAATAATAAAATCATTTTTTCTTGAAATATTTTATTAAAATACAAAATAAATGATACAATTTTTTTTAAATTTTTTAAATAAGATACAACATACAATAATATAATTATAATAATTAATAAAATTAAACCCATCAAGGGTTTCACATTAATTTTAGCAGTATTATATTAATTTTTTTCATTTCTTATTTTTTTTAAAAATATATATGTAATTTCATACTATTTATATTTTTCAATTCCCATAATAAATATTTATTTAAATATAATTCTAATTATAATTGTTATGCGCATAAAAATAAAAAATATAACTGTGATTATAATATATTCAAATAAATCGGATTATAATTAAAAATATAAGTCTCATGTATTAGATGGGGTATAAGAAGTAGTCATAGCTTATACTAATCAACATATTCAATACTCCTCTGGTCCTAAATACGAGACTCTTTTTGTAATATAATTTACATTATAAAAAGGGTCTTATATTTAGAACCGAAAGAGTACTTTTAATACAATTAACTTACTCCACATGGATTACCTCTTAACATGTGACTTGTAAAGTAGATTGACTCATTTAATCTAATTTAAATTGTTGAACCGTTTTTCACAATCATACCTACTGAGTAAGCGCAATAATTATATAATTAGAAATATTAATGTATAATATGATATAAAAAAATCATATTCCTTTTTTATAATAAAAAGTATAGATGATTTTAGATTTGACTTGGCTCTTTTCTTTTTTCTTTTGTATACAATTTAGTTATAGGAAAAAATGGTAGGGAAAAGGGAAAAGGAAATGTGAAGTACATAGTAGAATACTGAGAAAGGACAATTATATAATTATTATAAGAGGCTTCTGGTCTTGTCGTTTGGACAGGTCTCTGCCTACCATCGTGCTTATCCTAACATATTGATAGGGAAAGAGTTTGGCGTTTTATGAGGACCCCATATAAAATTATAAATAAATAAGATTTCCACTAAGATTTTATTATTATTTTTTATAAGACAACTTCATATATGCCCCGACAACTCTTTCTTTTTCTAATATTAGTAAAAAAAAATATAACCTATTAACCAACATCACTTTTCTTTCTTCACCTTCTCGCCTCAGTGTGGTTCTTTATATAAACACATAAACTTCAAATACCAAAAGAAAGATTTGAATGAAGGTTGGCTCCATTTGCTATACACTAATTAAAGAATCCTGTTTTAGTATATAAAAAATAATATATCTATCTATATATATATACTACTTTCAATTCTAAATATAAGAGCTAGTCAACTAATTTGAGTAAATTGAAAAAATTAGTTAAATTAATTATTTGTAATAAATATGTATTATTTTTCATAAAATACCTTTGCTAATCATATATATTAGTTATAACTACTATTTACTAAAACTTTTAATATGTGCAATTATTACAAAGACTATCTTAAAAAAAATACAAGAGGCAAATTGGGTAGCAACCAGAAAGAGGAGAATCCAGCTGCTTGATGGAAATGAGAGAATATATGTGTGTCTATATATATAATTAATACCAGCAGGACTTGAGTCTAACAGGAGAGACTAGTCCTTTATAATATGATGAACTAATATTTAAATTCCTGTTAGGAGAGGTGTGTACATTTAGTATGTAACAGTGATTCGAATAAGATTATTTTTAATAGGAGAATATCTGTATTTTAGCAAAAATATATATAATTAATGAAACGCTAAACAAAAATTTATGGTATACATTGAAAATTGGGAAAAGAAGGGTGAGCGTGTGGGCTGCGTGCTGTTAGAGGGAAAGGCATGCAAAAAAGTGAATAGAAGGGTCCAGAATTGATAACAAATTCAAGTGATCATCAACAACTGGTCAATCACAATGACAGCCACAAAACAAATTACATATTTACATTGCTTTCCTAATGTCACTATCCCCACAAGAATTTTTTTAATTATTATTACCGTTACAGTTACTGTTATTTCTGGATTCTTAATATAAGTTATCGAACTAATTTAGGTAAATTAATAAAACTAAAGCTAAATAAATTACTTTATTCTAATAAAAATACCATACTTTTTTAAAAAATATTCCTATGTAACATTAGCTTAAATATCAGTTTATAAGTTAAATAAATTAATTTGAAAAAAATAATAAATATGAGAAATAATAGGCATTAAGATCTTATATTTAAAATTAAAATTAAAATTTTTTAAGTTTTAACTAACTCAGATGAGAGAAGCACCTAAAAATTATTATAAAATGAAAATATAAGTTACCATAGCAGTAATGCCTTTAAAGCTCAAATCCTTTGCAAGAAAAATGATCGCCTTTACGAGTATTATTTTTAATCACTAGTTTTTTTTTTTTTTTGCAACTGTAAAATTGCTATTGTCAAAGTAAACGGGGAGGAATTGGATTTATGCCATAAATAAAATAGAAAATGACGCGAACAAGGTAAGAATGGAGTATTTATGGAGATAGGTCCCACTTTTATAAAGGGCATTTTGTTAATCATATAGTAATATTTTCTCAGGAAGGTTCAAGAAGAATCAAGAAAAAACCCATTTATAAAATATGGAAGTGGTAGAATCCAGAGCATCCTTGGGAAATTAGGTGCACCACTTTGTAAAAGCATCATTATGATTCACTGAACTAGTAGCCAGTAGGTAACAAATAATGCTAACAATGACAATAACAACAAAAACAATAATAATAAAATAATTATGGTCTATGATGGAACAGTAACTTCTACCTAAAAATGTCACTGAACATTAATTTACCTCAATTTTTTAAGGTGCTTCAGGATTGCTAATTTTGGCTTGAGTAAGAGTGCCAATTGGATCGTTTAAAAAAAAAAAAAGACAGGGAAAGTTCTTTTTTCTGTTCTTTTTAATTTGTTCTAAACATGCAAGTTATCCATGTGCAACTTGGAATACCTGCTAAAATTAACCCTATAAAATATGCGGTTGGGTTGGAGTTTACAATGGGCTCATTCGACTTGTTTTCTTATTTTTTGTGGATTCTGTAGCTGGGGGCCTGGAGTGAACATTGGGTTTTGCTGATGTGTCAAACCCAACGAGTTAACATTTTAAAGATTGGGTTCATGATAAATTTGAGAACCAGGTTTAAGGAAATTGATTTCCTTTATTATGCACCATTCAATTTATTACTGCCTCTGGTCCTGTTATCTTAAATATAGAAATTAGATAAAAGTTTCATTTTAGTCCTAAATATAAAACTTTAAGTTAATTTGTCATCCAAATTTATAATTTTTTGCTCAAAATGTTCCTATTAATTTCACATATTAAAAGACTTCTAATTAACAAATAGTATCAATGCACCAAATTAAACAAGATAGTTTAGAAAAATTAAAACACATTTACTACAAATAATTAATTTAACTAATTTTTTTAATATTCATAAATTAATTATCTAGCTCTTATATTATTTTTATATTAAGGATTGGAGGATATGTAACACGATGTGCTATATGAGATGATGAAACAAGAACAATAAGCATGTTAAAATTGTTGATAAATATGAGTGCAAAAGCCCATTCCCTGTAGGCGTACCACTCACGGCTCACAAGTGAAAATGACTAATACCTCCAAAATGGTCACAATTTTGAAATGGCCGTTTCACAGATAACTATCTTTACTTTTTTCATTAATAATAACTCCATCTAAAATGCCACATAAAAAGTCTATAACCAGCTTTCAGCAGCAAATACCATTCTGACAACATCAGGTTAAGTTCTTTAGATATTGCTATTACCTACAGATCCATGAGTCCAGGCTCTAACCTCTGGACTTCCAGAACCTGATATGCTCCCATCGTTTATCTGCTGCGAAGTTGCCATGCTACCGGGATTCAGTTGCCGAGTGCTCAATTGAGGCAACTTACTATGCAGTGAGGGAAGTAGAGGTAGAGATGGAACCACCTGATTAGCTAACCTAGCCGCCTTGTTTGGCCCAAGCATTGCCATTGGCCCAATGTCCTGCTGCAACACCATATGGGATGGCTGGCTTGTCTCTGCCCAGGGCTCCCTGCGATTGTTGCATATGTTTCTCATGTTAATAGCATGTGCGTGGGCAGTTGAGAGCATGCTTGCATTTCTCGGGGTTGGCAATCCGCCAACGAAACCCTGACCTTGGCTAGTGTTCGGTGTTGGGAAAACCGCAAATCTGCCATCTGAAACTGCACCAAAGAGCTGCTCATCGTTCGAACCCAGTATATGATTATTCTGGAGATTGCTAGAGGTGCTCAAACTGTTCAGGCAGTGCATCAGTCCCTCAGAAAGTATAGGTCCAGAACAATTGATGCCAGTGATATGACTACAGGAGCTAGATTCTATGTTTCTGATGATCCTTTGGCCTCCATTTAATGGTACTGTACCATGGCCGCTTGCAGCAGCGCCCAGATAAACTGTGGATTCTGTCCCTGGAATGAGTTCCTGTTCTTGCCAATGCTTCAGCAGCTGCATTTGATATTGCAACCACAAAAATTTATTTGCACTCTGTTGCCACCACTGCTGGATGGACCTCATTTGCTGTTGAAGATTGTCAATTTGAAGATTAAATGCACTGTTGTGGGTCGGCTGCGGTGATGAGAAACTATTTCCACCCACAGTGACATTCAATCCAGAGAGAATAGTGGGCTGTGGTGATTGCGTAGGAACATCGAATTGGAATGGCATCCTACTACTTGAATTATGCAAGGGAGGTGAAGACAACCCAACAGCGCAAGTTGCAGAAGGTTTCACTGTTCTATGTGTCAAAATGGAATTACTGACAATTGGCTGCTTTTTGATACCTAATTCACCATTTTCGTTACGAGGTAAGGACCCAACTTGATCACTAATTATGCGGTACCCTTCACGAATCATCTATATCCAGGAAAAGCATTATATCAAGCATATAAGAAAGCGACGATGAAGAAAATTTTCATAGCAGACATCATGTGCAACTCACCAATGAAGTGAACTGACAAGCAATCTGGTTTGCAGAACGCAGCTGTATAAAGTGCAAACACAATCAGATTAATCGGATTCATAATAATATTACATTTTAGGCCACAGTAGTCAGAGATAATGTCAATCCCAATGAGAAAATCCAATTAGAAAGGCAAATCGTAGGGCAGAAAAATGTTAGGAATTAGTGCAAAAATTACATAACAGAAGAATTATAATGTACCTATCAAACTGCTCGTCCTGAGACCTAAATTTATGTGGCATATCAAATTCAGTCCCCAAGCAAATATGGGCCCAGGACCCCCAAAAAGAAAAAAATCAGATATCGACCATTCCCCATCGTTATTTAGATGACTGGTAAACTACAATTCAAAAACTGGTTCACTAGATACAGTTATGAAATGAGGGGAAAACAGGAAATATTGTAATACCTGTAAAATAAGAAGGCAAGCATATCAAGATCTGAAACATGAACCACTAGCTAATGCACGATATATTGACTAATATAGCATCATGGATAGTGGTTAATTAGGGAAAAACCACATTTATCAGAAGACAGAATGCGTAAAACACAGGGAAATTAAGCTTAAAAGTTAGATGAGCATGACATGACATCCATGTTCAAGGATCCACAAAAAGATGGCGAGGTCAATCAGTTCAAAGATGCATTAATTTTTAGGGAAAATTAGGGAGAGGGACCTAGTGGCGACAATAATTACGGGGGAAGATCTTAAAAACTGTATTTATTTGGGAGGACCAAATACTAGAATATAAATTTAAAATTACCAATTTGCCCTTAACAAAATCCCATAAATTATCTATAACCATATCCTATAATTTTTTTTAACAAAATAATTGAAGTTTATTCAAATTAATTCAAACTAATTGGAATTACAAAGTTACAAAACAATTCTAAATAATTCAATTCAATTCAATTAGTAAGTAATACTAATTAATTTATTCTTCCATTAGTTTTTTAAAAAAATGAAACTCCTATTTTGAGCTTCCTAAATAATGAGCTGATCAAAATTATATAGCTGAATTAAAAATTAAAATATATATATAACTTATCCATAATTAATAAGAACAAAAAATATCATGTAGGTTTAAACTTGATTTTCTTACTCAAACTATTATAACTACTTTTATTATGACAAATATTTATTAATATAATGAATTTCTTATGTCATTTTTTATTTTAAATTTTAAATTTTATTAAGTAAGAGGATTCAACTTATTCAAATAAAATAATAGTACAAAATGGATCAGCAAAAATGTGGAACAACTTTTTTTTTGTGAATGGAGAACTTTACTGCCCTGCTCATTTTTCAAAAAGCCCACAAAAAATTATTAATAAAAAATAATGGAAAAATAAATTAGTTAATGTTGGCTATTAATTTAATTAATTAGAATTAGTGTCTGACTTTAAAATTTAAATTAGTTTGAATTAATTCAAATAAATTGTAATTATTCTACTAAATGATATGAAAATTATAGGAAGTGATGAGAGAATATAGGGGTTATGGTTTGAATAGGGGTGAGTTTAATCTTTTTAAGTTTATATTTTAATATTTGGTCTTTTTAAATAATTAAAGTTTTTAAGATCCTTTCTAATAAATATCTTTTTCTCCTGGTCCTGCTCTCTAATTTTCCCTAATTTTTAGTCAGTCAGCATAACTAATCACACCTTAGGCCGACAAATAATCATTCTATCAGCCAGTTTCTCCAGTTGACATTTAAAAAATAATAATAACAATGAGCTAGAAGCGTTTTGACTCACAGAACTAGAAAAAGTAGGCAAGAGAGACGAGGAAACAGGATGATCTCCATCACATCCATAGAACACGTGCACTTCAACTGTTCCAATGTCTAGGTTTTCCAACATGACCAGTTTAACCAGAGCTGCGTTATCAACCACTGGACAGTCACTTCCTGGGATAGGGGAGTAAAAGAGATTCAGCAGCACTCAAGGAGTTGATTTTGAAAGAAAAGTTATAAAATGTGGATATTTTTACTTTGAATGTTATGATATTCATGTGAAAATATCAATGTCCTAGTTTTCCAGTAACTGGAATACTTGGATGAAGAAATTTTATATCCCATAGAATCTTCTGACTTTCCACCGTCCTCAAAACTTGCAAGGTGAACACCAACCAGGGGAGGAGTCTGGTGGAAGGATGGCTTCTTTCGAACAATTTGATCCAACTTGAGCTTCCTGTCAATCAATCCATACCTGAATACAAATAAGAGTACCATCATGGCACAAAAAACATTCCAACATCAGTTAAACACTTCACATGAATTAATCGAAGAGTCACCTCTCACACACTTCTAGAATCTTTAATAATCTGCTAGAAGCATTTTCATCTTCAACTGATTGCTGTGGTGGACACAGGTTCTTCACAGTCAGGCTATTTGCACCAGCCAGATTACCGCTGCTCATGCTGATGACTGCACCAGCTGCTTCAGCTTTCAAACCTCTAGAACGAGAGCTTTTATGTGCCGCTCTCATAGAAGCCTGCCTTTGCAAGGAACTGCTATTTCGAGTAGTTGACAGACTTCCATCTGCAGCTGTAGCCTGCAAATTCTGAGAGACTTTTCTCTTCAGAGCAGCATTTCCATTTTTCAGACACTTGTCATAAGGCTGATCCAAGTGATTGGATGAGCAGATGGAAGTGCTATTAATTGTCGACAGCTTCAATAAGAAGTGCTGTTTTGAATTATACAAATTAGATGGACCAATGCTCCTATCCTTGCAAGAACCATCAGCGTGTAGGCCACTTGGCTCAGCAGGCTCCTGTTTCACAAAGGGAGCTCTGATCTGATCGTTTTGAATTCCTTTAAGCATCATTTGGTCATTACGTGTTGATTGCTTGACATGGAATTTTCTCTTTTTGCTTTCACATAGACTTTTCTCAACATCAAATTGCTGTTTTGGTGCGTTGTCCACCCACTGTAGTTCAGGACCTTCAGGTGCAATGCTGACTTGGCTGCCTACAAGCTGGAGTTTAGGCAGGTCCACTGGCTCTTGTTTTGGTTTCTTATAAGGGATTCTTTTAGTAGATTGTTTGTTGCAAACGCTGTTCTCACAAGAAACTATGGAATTCCCCAGAGCCATGCCATTCGTAGCATTAGCAAGTGGTTGATTGGGCATATAAACAAAATTAGGTATCTTTGGAACCATTAAGGCAATTGAGCATGATGAGTAATCAAGAGCAGAATTTATCCCCGGTGGATTACAAAAACGGCTGGAGATATTTTCCAGCATACTAGAAGTGCTTTTTTCTTTTCCCAGAGGACCACATTGAGGTTTGTGCTTTTGGGTGAGATAATCACGCATAGCATGTTTTAGAAGATTTGAGCTTCTGATTGGCAAACCTTGCATTGGTTCATCACTTAGCTTTCTTTTCTTCCACTTCCATGCAATACCCAGATCAAGCTGCCATGCATGCTAAGAATTAATCAATATGGTAGTGAAGGATTAATCATGCGTTATAAATTGAGTTCAAGTCAAGACTTTAAATTTGGTGAGTGTTAGGGTACACATTCACTCAAAGTTATATCCATTAGCCTTATTTGCAAGGAAAAAGCTTTAGACACTCCTTATTTATATATGAAATGCTTTTAGCAATCTCAGGAAGAAAAGATCTTTCAGAAGTTACAAGAATAATATAACCATCAATACCTTCTTTCCTCGAGATTCACCAAAAAGTTGGCCCCCTAAAGGTTCCGGGTTCAAATGAAGATCTGGTTGCAAAGCCTTGATGATGCAAGACTCAATTTCCTGATAATATAACATGAAACTAACATAGGGCTCATGATATGCAATGCATAAGATGAAATATACACAAGCTTAAATTGATCAATGTATACCTACCAGAAGATCTTTATATGTCCAAGAATCATTTGAGACTGACAATATGTCCTTGACAACAGTTTCCATGCACAATTGAAGGGTCAACTTATGCACAATTGGGATATTCGCAGTTGATGAAGTGTGATCCTCTTTATATATCAAAATATGGCGATAATCCCGAATCTGCAAGGTATTAACTTTCTTGTGAACAGGGATAACAAGATTAACTTCAATGTTTGACCTCTTTAATCCCCTAAGATGAGATTATATGCATCAAGAGGCAGCTGAACATTTCTCAAACGAGAAGATAGTTGACATTACACAGTGATAAATGAATTACTTCCTCTGATGTATTTGTATGGCAATCAGAAATCAGAGTAAAGGCCAGAAATTATAGTGAACTGGTGAAGTAATAATTTCTATACGTAATCTGCGCTTTGAAAATATACAGTGGTACGCAGGTACTCCACATATGCAAAATGATATAGTATCTATAATTTTGAGTTTTATCTCACCTCACACATAAGAGCTCCATTGATGTACTTGCAAGGAATATCATCAAGCATATCTCCAGGTAACCAACCATACTCAATGGCCTGGTGTGTGAAAGAAACATGGCAAAAGGTAAAAACGAGGGGGAAAAAAAAAACGAAAAAGTAAACCATGGGATGTGCAGATCACATTCTAACATGAATAGAACATTATAAATGTAAAGCACTATTTTTTCAAACCAAAAAGTATAAATTTCATTTTTTATTTATTTGTTACCCTTTTGAATGTCAACTGCTGTGTGATTTAGCTGATACAGTGTGGTAGGAATTTCCCAAGCTAAAATTTCATGTGAAATAATGTTTGCTTAGGTAAAGAAAGAGATGAGCAGAATTATAAAAGAGCATAATATATGGAACAAGGCTTCATAAGTATGAATATCAATTGACAGATACCCACAAATGGAAACACACAACTTCAAATGAGAAGGACGTAAACAGCGTTGCACCATTTTCTCCTAGCATGAGAAACATTTCAAATAAAAAAAAATGGCCAGGGTTGCTACAGATGTTTGTGACATGCAAGTTGAAGGGCACCGAGTGAGTAGCTATTGTGGACTCATGCATTTATGTTAGTGAACATTATTCATAATATGTAGCGTACAAACTTGAAAATACCTCCAGTCTCATTTACATATATATTAGTAGAATGTCAAAAGCATAAACACATCCAATATTACAGATATTCAAAACAGAAGCCAAATTAAAAGTACTGATTACAAACTCATTAGAGTATGAGGTGTGAATATGATTCGTTTCTGCAAATCACTAACAGATATATGCCAGAGAGGGAAACACAATAACACCATTACTAAGTTAAAGCATCATTTTTGCTTAGAAGTAAGGGGGGAAAAGAAAATAGGATCTATATAGCCTTTGCTAAGAGGATATATAGCATACTAAGATCAAATCAATATATAGTCTGGTCAATCAGATTTGAGTAAATATATCTTTTGATGCTTACAGAGAAAAGTGTTTCTGACGCCTTGTCATATGGAAGCAACTGCTTTGGCACATCACTGGGGAACTGCAGGGGCAGAAATCAACAATAAGGATTAAATTCCAGTAGTAGTGAGAAGCAGTATAAATGACTAGCATACATAACTCTTAAGTTTTAACCCTTGTGATACCGACCTCATTACCTTTCCCAATAGAAAATCCATCTTTGAATAAATTCAGTGAGAAGGACACCTCAAGTCCTGCATGATAGCTAACCATGAAAACGAATGCTTTCATAATAGATTGCTGTACAATGTAAGTATTAACATTACCTTCTGAGGTTGAGTGCGATAGATTCTTGTGCTTCTTATTTGAGTCATCAACTAATGCAGCTCCTATCTGAGATAAGTTTCCCCATATCAAAATATTTGATATTAAATTTCTCACGTACTATCATATAAATTAAGATAAGATTTATCGCAAACCCAAGAATTATTTTTTGAGTATGCTTTTTTTCAAGTATAATGATGCTTTTAGTATAAGTATATTGATGCCCAATCCATGAAGCAGGGAAACATGAAAAAAGAGTTGAATCAATTAACGACACTTATCATGCACTGCATCAAGCAGGGAGGAGAAAAGAGATTCTAAAATAAAATGTCACAGATCTGTTTTCTTTGCAATGCAGAAAGAAAATTAAACTACAACAGATCAAATGGCTAGAATAACTTGGCATTTTGTGGTATACAAAGAAGATGCGCCTTCACCAATCGAGTATGATAGACAGAAATTATTTCCTTTTAGGTAGGAAGTGTGAACTTCAATTTGCAAAGGTGAGAGAGCGACTTCTAGAGGGAGTTCTTTAAAATTTCTGGAGATATATTTCATAAATGTGCGGTCCTAAATGACTATACAATGTTGTTGATAGATTAAACTATGGATGACCCTGTGTATCCCAATTCAACATTCATAGTGTTGAAAGGTAGACATATGGAATTTTGTTCCCATATGTTTAAAGTAGGGTGGCTGGTGACATATTTTCCTTGAAGAATACCCACAACATGCAAATTCACCTCAATTGCTCAATTACTGGCTATTATGCTACAATGAAATAAATGTTTTCCCCTGTTTTTCATCTACATAAGCCACATGCAACTCAAACGGGCTAAGTAGAAAGAAAATGATATATTGCTTCCAGCCCCTTAGATTTCAATAATTATATACCTTTTCTCTAGTATCCCCAACCCTCTGACAATTTTAACATCCAATGCTTGGGGACCGAGCAATTTTGATATCTCACATTTCAATTTTTAACACATTTAGTCCCCAGAGTTATTAACTTTTGACGACTATTATTTCGATGGAAAAAGATTCTGCTACAATTTCGCTGCTAGAATGATGAATTTCATGTTGATCTACAAAAATAAAACCCGACATTCATTCATATAAATTAAACAGAAAAATAAACAATGTAAATGATTAAAAGACAGCAATGAAATAATAAATAAAGTGGGGCTGACAAATTGGTAAAGCAACATTCCAAGTTGTTATTCAATAGAAGATGATTTTAAACTTTTGCTTTTCGACTGGTTGATAACAGTTGGTAGTGTGGGAATCGTGTTGAGGGACCTGACCTTTAGCCTCCAAACGACGGGGATAGTCAAATCCCCATCTTCCCAAATTTCATATACGAAGCCTTGATGGGCCATACACACAAAAGAACGGTGATTCCCTCTTTCTTGTTTTTTTAATCTGAAAAGCTCGACTTTTCAAGAATATCATGCAAAAGTTTTTCTTGACCAGAAAATATCACGCAAAAGTTGACGGTTGCAGCCAGCATTATTCAAATAAATTTAATATTTGAGAAGATACTACAAAAAGGTAAACAATCATCGTTGATGCTGGACAATATTAAAACTATGTTACAGCATGTGATTATTTATTAATTAACTAAAGAAGAATGAAGTCATGAACACTCAGGCACCATTATCAATCCAATGGAAGAGCATGATCAGACGAGAGCATCAAGCCCCAACCCCTCCGGCCCTCGGATTGCATCAAAACAACCTCATTTCAACTCTCGAATTGATATTCACACAACCACGCTCACACTCATCCCCCAGAAGAAAAAGCCCCCAGACCAATAGTCCAGAACTACTGAAATGCCATTCAAACTTCAAAAAATCGCAAAAACGAACAAAATGCGAACCAAAAAATCAAATAATCTAACGACGAACACATGCCTCGGCGATCCTAGGCTGAGAATCATTTGTGGAGGGAGTGTCGTCAGCTTTGTCGTCAATTGGAAGCAGCTTGGGCTTACCTGGTACCCACTCTTGCAACCTCGAAAGACACGCCCATGGGTGTGGTGTTCAAGCCGAATCGCAGAGCGAAGAAGAGAAGTGCGTTATGGAGGAGTGGAAATTGGAGGGAGGAGAAGAGGCGCAGCCTCCAAGGCTTCTTACAGAGATTGTACTGTGGGTGATTTGCGCAAGGGAAACGAAGGTGGCGTTCTTCCCGTTTTATATTGCCAACTCTGCCATGAAGGCGAACACGTAGAAAGAGGCGTGACTCCTTTCTCTCTCCTCTTGTCTTTCTCTTCTCTTTCTCCGGGCCAGTATTTTTTTTCCTCTCTTTTTTTTTTATTACATAAAAAAGCCGTCATAAAACTCTTTACTTAGGAGTTAAGAAAGACAAAATGGACGTCAATTTTACAATTCTTAATTTTGACTAAAATTGTGGATAATTTTTTAAATAATTTTACGAATTTATACTATTTTATGATTTAAATTTAAGTAATTTTTTCAATACAATTCCTTTAAAATTTAAATCCCTAATTTAGTAGTATTATGTAATCAATCGCACAGTTAGGACAACTTATCACTCAACCCAGATTAAAATATATCAAGGTCAAAAAACCCAGATTAAAATATAAGCATTAAATAACTAAATTACACAACTTAAAAGTTGATAAAAATTTGTCAAAAACAATAAATAATAAAAAAATACAATTTTTTCTCAAAATATTTTTATTTTTGGAGAGGATAAATAGGATAAAGAAGTGGGAAAATGATATGAAAAATATAAATTAATTATGAATAAAAATAGAAAAATGTATTAAATGATTAAACAAATTCAAATTGATACTTATATAAAACAAAATTCTTAAGAAATGTGTGCTTATATTTTGAATTAGAGGGAGCATTATTGATGTAAATTTTTTATACTACCTAAACAAAAATTTTAAACATAAGATTTAAAAATCTAAAATTCAAATACAAATGTATATCCATTTATTCAAACACCACTTTAAGATATGAATAACTATTTTATGATGGGAAAAATGGTAAGTAATGTTTTGAGTTTCACCTGCTCAAGTAAATAAGAGTAAAATGGATACAAATAATAGTCAATAATCCAAATTACTTTAATATAATAAAATTGATAATGTTTTGATCTTCAAAAATCAATAATTATTTTTCAGAATTTACAAATTCATGAAACGATTTGAGAATGATTTGATAAAAGTTATAGAAAGTATATATCTCATACAAGTCAAAACGCCAGTAGAGGCTAAAATAGAATGTAAAGTGACTTCATCAATGTGGGGCATAGGAGGGGCACTGGGGCCCATAACCATGCAATAGTACATCTGGAATCAAGAGGACGGAACGTCCTGGCGTCAAGGAAATGCATGGGTACACATAAGCATGGAGTATTGTTTTGTTAATTTGCAGGAATATCCTTGTTTTATTCATTAATATTTAAATTTT